CTGTCAAGTATCTCAGCTAGCTTCTTTCTGTCTTTGAGTTAGAAATTTAAAACCTATTTCCCTGGTTACCATACGTTCCTGCTTACTCCCTGGGTTTAAAAGCAAGTGCTAAAAAAAAAAATAAAAAAAATAAAAGCAAGTGCTTCCTAGTAGCCTGAATAAGATAAAAGGAGCAGAAAGACACTGTTAAGGTCCCTTGTTGCTTTTGCTGTCTTCCACCACCAGGAATTGTTGCCCCTTTGCCACCCTGCCTTGGAACCAGCCGATTATGAACTGAAAACCTCTACAAACTGTAAGCCAGATAAACACTTTCCCCTCTAAAAAAAAAAAAAAAAAAAAGAGCAAGTGCTTGTGACATGAAAGAGAAGATGGCTCTGACATCACAGGTACACAATCTTGAAGCTACATGGTCTCTTCTAGATACCTAGAGTTTACTTCTGCATATAGTTTACTTCTCGTTTTTCACTTCTGTATTTTCTAATGGGAATTTCTGAGGCTGGTAACCCAGTTCAGTGGGTGATTTTATTAGCAGCAAGTAATTTTTAGGGGAGTTTGCACATAGAAAATTGGGGAGAGCATTAAGAGAGTTATTTTAGGGCCAGGGATTTAGCTCAGTGGTTTTGCCGCCTGCCTCACAAGCGCAGGGTTCCGAATTTGATCCCCAGTATCAAAAAAAAGAGTTACTTTAGACTAGAATCAAATTTCATTTTTGTCAAGTTTGAAGAGCCTGTCCTACATTGCATATAATGAAAATTAATGCTTTGTTTCCATGGCATTTGCCCTGAGAAATTTCCATGATTTATTAAAAATTAAATGGCTAATGTGTTAGTCACTCTTGGGCTATAAACATGAGAAAGAAATTGTACTTCCTGACTAGAGAGAAAGAAGAGTTAGTTACTTGTGTACTACACCTATAAAACTCCCTGACAGGATATTTATCGAACATTGATCAGATGTTCTTTATCCAGTAGTTTAATTTGTATAGATCCCAAAATTATTAACAGAAGCCAGCAATTGAGTTAGACCAGCACTGTCTGATAGAAATATTATGTAAGCCACAAAATTTAAAGTTTTTTATTAGCCACATTAAAAAAGTAAGTTGGGTTTGGTGGTGTACACCTGTAATCCTAGCACTCCAGGAGGCTGACCTAGGAGGATCTCAAGTTTGATCCTAGCCTGGTCAACTTGGCAATTTACTGAGACCCTGTTTCAAAATTCATGCAAAGACCATGGGTTCTAGCCTCAGTACCTTTAAAAAAAAAAAAAAGTGACAGTACCTTTAATATTTTTACCCAGCACATTAAAACTGTTTCAAGATGTAATCAACATAAAATTATAATTTTACATTCCTTTAGAGGCACTAAGTCAGTGGATATTTTATATTTAATAGACATGTCAGTTTGGACTAGCCATATTTAAAGTGTCCAGTAGCCATATATGGTCAGTGGCTATTGCACTGGACAGTACAAGGCTAGGCTGCAAGCTCCAGAGGACAGAGATTATGATTATCTTATCATTATATCCCCATCCCCTGGCCAGGTAACAGTACATAGCTGGTGTCCAGTAGTACTTTTGACTTAATGAATGAATGAGTGGATACCTTTTATATAGAACCATCTTTTCATTGATTCTCTTTGGGGTTTTTTTGTTTGTTTTTTTTGGTACTGGGGATCGAACTCGGGTCCTTGCGCTTGCGAGGCAGGCTGCAGAACCACTGAGCTAAGTCCTCAGTCCTAGAAAATGTTTTTTTTGTTTTGTTTTGTTTTTGGTACCGGGGATCAAACTTGGGTCCTTGTGCTTGCAAGGCGGGCGGTGGAACCACTGAGCCAAATCCCTGCCCCTTTTTCATTGATTCTCAACATGTAATCCAGGTGAGTAAGTTACATTTGTCACAGAAATAATTGTCTGTAAGTTTAGAGCATCTTCCCTGCTGAATAGTCATTTAAAAAATTCTTGAATGTACTATATTTCTTTTCATATTTGCTCAAAAACAGCTTTAAAATTTCCTCTTGGCTCCAGGTAATATAACAAATAACATTATAAAGATTCTTAAAGTTATCTGTTGCCCATAGAAAAACTCTGATTTGTTTTTTCTTTGAATTTCCTTGCTAATTCTTAGAAACATTTGTCTTGAGAATATTATTGCATAATCCAACACCTGTCCCTTAGATCATCCAAATCTCTTTTTTGTTTTTTTCTTTGGTACTGAAGATTGAACCCAGGCCCTCACCATGCTAAGCACATGCTCTACCAACTACACCCTGAGTTATATACCCCTAGTCACATCTGTCTCGTAAGCATAACACTGTAATATCAGAGTTCACAGAGAATTGGATACTATTTTGATCATTCCTGTCACTGTTTGCTTTGACCTACAGTTAAAGTCAACAAAACTCTTTGACCTGTTGTGTATCTTCAACTGTTTAGGTGTTGTGGGTAATACAGTGGACCTTTGACTTACAAACTCAGTTCGTTCACAAGGGCTGATTGTAAATCAGGTTGGTCACTTGAAGGCTCAGGCTTCTCTACACAGCCTTCAAAGAATCTCTCCTGTATAATTTTAGGTCACACTTTATTCCAGGCAGATCTCAGCCCAGGATTTCTCAATTAACCCCACACAAGAAAGGATGTTGTAATGTTCCTTCCAGAACTCTTTAAGGGTTAAATCTGTATCTGAGACCATCTGGAACCACAAGCAGCTGGCATTCAGGCCCATAACTCCAGACTTTGGATGTAAGTTAAAACTAAAATTCCAGTCATAACCCAAGTTGTTTGTATGTCAGGCTGATTGTAACTCGAGGGTCCACTGTACAGGGTAATTGTTATACATTATCTTTGCTGTGGGGAGTTATAATCTAGAGAAGAAAAACTGATGAAATGAGAAGAATTAAATGAAAATTAGTTGACTCCCAACTTTGTTCTCTGTTTTTGTGTGCTCTAGGTTTGGTTATAGAAAGGTGAATACAAACTGGATGAGGTGTATGCTTGTTAATCCTAGCACGTGGGAGATAGGGACAAGATCTTGAGTTCAAGGGTACCCTGTGTACCATAGCAAGGTCAAGGCCATCTTGGAGTAGTTAGTGAGATTTTTATCTGAAAAAAACTACAAAGAAAGAAAGGGAAGGAAGGGAGAGAGAGGAGGGGAAAGATAAACACATCCCTCTTCTTTCAGATACCTCACAGCCTCCTATATAGACCGATAAACATTTTAACCTAATGAATGTTTAAAATCTGTGAGGCACAGTAATAATATCCCACGTACAGATGACACATGAGAAAGCTGACTTAGTGAACGTCACTGACTTACTCAAGATAGCCCTCAGAAAGACCCTGGATTTGAACTTAGATATTATGGGAGCCCTTCCTCTTTCTTCCTCACCATACTCGTATGTTTCCAAAGTCCTAGAGAGACAAATTGAGTTCTTCATTTAAGATAAATCATAGCTCATTAGTAAATGTGCTGATTGTAGTTTATCTAATATTATTTATGTAGTTTTGGTATAATCTTGTCAATTGTACATGTTTACCCCAATTTATGATTAAGACTACTGACCAGAAGGGCCCTAAGGTCTCATTAGTGATAAAGACCAGCATGGAGCAGACTTGGAGGTGTATACACCACTAGGAACTGAGGGACAGAGAGGCTAGGCTAAGGTGTGAGGCAAGGACTCTGGGCTTTCCAGACAGGGTCTGACTCATTGTGGTGGTAGTGGTATGGGAGACTGATAGGTTAGTAGGGGAAAGGCTCTGCAATGCTGGCCTGCGGACTTAGTCCTTGAGCAGTATTGAAACGATCAAAGACAAACAAGGACTGATGTGGACCAGTGACTCAGCAGTTCACTCAGTGTTTAGTTACTCTAAATTATGCAAAATTTCTTTTCAGTTCTTTTTTCTTCTTGGTACTGAGGATTGAACTCAGGACCTTGTGCCTGCCAGGCAGGTGCTGTGTCACTGAACTAAATCCCCGGCCCTCTTTTCAATTCTTGTTTAGAAGTATATCGTAGAAAGTGGGATTTTAATTTGAAAAAGTGTATAAAGCATGTTATATTGGTGATAAATTTTTATTGGTATAATAGATGTTTATTAGGTATGTAGTCTTATCCTAAATATTAATTAACATTATACTAGTATCTATTACATAATGAAAGTAGATTGATCTTTTGGCTAACAAACAATAACATCTTATTCCATCCCATATACAGCATATTTAAGCATCTTTGGTTCTGTAGCCATGCAAGGGTTATTTGTAGACTGGTATAAAAGATTATAAGGATAATAAATAATATAAAGTTTTGGGGTTTTTAACCTCTAAAATAATCTTGAAGTAATTTTTAGTAAAATAGTTGATGTAAACATCAGAAATTTCAGTTATAAATGATAGAAATAGCTTTTCTTAGTAATGTTTTTAATAGACTGAAAGATGTTCTTTGAGATAAATATATTTTTTGTTAAATGTCTGGAATGGTATTTAAATTTTAAATTTTGCTATGACCTCTTAAGAGCCAGCTTTCTTTTAAAGTGTATAATTATATATTGTGAGAAAGCCATAGATTTTATGTGTGTATATTTTTATTTATACATGACTCATTCATATTTTTTATCATATTTATATAGTTTTCTAATCTTCATAGTTCAGTTTTCTTGTGTTTTTTCTTCTTGAAGGAAATAAGAAAATTCGTCCTGTTAGCTTTTGGATTTCTAAACCTCTTCTCTTTCTTTTCTTGAAAATTCCAAGTTGTCAGCCATTTTCTTGGATATATTTTGCTGTTACTTCCCTTGGGAGAAATCTTTTTGCAGTTATCAAAATTTAAAAGTCATATGAAATAAAAGTGGAGATTAGCTCCTTAAAATCTTAAGTAGTATATGTGCATATATAAAATAACCTATGCAAATAAAAAATACATCCATTATAAATATTCCCTGATTCCCTTTTGAAACTCAAATGTTTGTGCTTTTTATCTGGTTGGCCACTTGTGGAAAACTGTTGTCTTCTCTCCTAGGCCACAGACCTCCACCAGCACGCAGTGGACATCGCTGTGTGGCAGATAATACCAACCTGTATGTGTTTGGAGGGTATAACCCAGACTACGATGAATCAGGAGGGCCAGATAATGAAGACTATCCTCTCTTCAGGGAGCTGTGGAGGTATCATTTTGCAACAGGAGTATGGCACCAGATGGGCACAGATGGCTACATGCCCCGGGAATTGGCATCCATGTCACGTGAGTGCTAGCAGTTCTGAACTTTTGACTTCTGGAAACATCTGAGAGGCCAGGTTCAATGTCACATGTTCCTTGTTTATAATTTATAATACTGTAATATGACTAAACCCTATTAATAGGCATTTTACAGCAGTAAAATGTACAAAATAGCATGATGATTCAGAATCACTTAGGTCCTGAGTTTGAATCCAGAAGTATACCGTTTGCTTGCCAAGTAAGTTTAAGATTTATTTCCAACCTGTAAATGGGATTAATAATATCTCAGAGTGTTTAGGATAAAGTATCATATATATGCTAGGCAAAGTGCAGTCCATCAATAAATGAGGTTATAGCAATGATGATAGTTCTTGAGTAGAGTGCTTCACACATATTATCTATTTTATCTGTATAACATTCCTGCAGTGCAGGTACTGTAGTAATTGGCATTGTATGATTGAAGAAACAGGCTTTAGAGAAGCCCTGAGGGTAACAGCTTAGGGTGCAGGCCCTGGAGCTGGTGCTTAGAAGTGAATACTACTTTGGCAGGGCTCCTTTAGGATGCCTCAGCAAGTTATTTAAACCACTGTTAAACTGTTTCCTCATCTATAAAAACAGCAAAGATAATAATTTCTTTCTCATTAGAGTTGTTGTAAAGATAAGTCAGGCAGGCTAAATAGCTTTCTTGAAGCCACAGTGGGATTTAAACCCAACTCTTGCTGGCTCTGGAGCCCAGACTATTGACAACTACATTGTATCAATTTGAGAATTGCTTGAAAAAAAACGGCACTGAAAATTAGAGCGGCACTATTTTGAGAGAGAAAGTATGCATGAGGGAGTGTGTGTGTGCTGTGGCAGGAATAGACGAGATAGAGGAAGAGGACCAAATTTACCTTCTCGATATTGGTATGTTTCTTTTTATGTAGTAAAGGATTAAAATGTCAGAAATCAATTTAAAGTGTAGAGATCATCCCCCTAACAAATTCAGAATTATTCTTTTATTCCTTCATCCTGAGACCCACAGGGTCTTTGCCAAGACAGAGATGATGCTTCATTTTCCTCTGCATTGTGGAGACTTAAACTGTCTTGAGCAGTAGTGGTCTACCCTAGTTATCTCAGCATTACTGTACACTCTATTTAATGTATTCTGCAAATATACTGACTCTGTCATATACTCACAATGAACTGTATCATTCAGTCTATGCCAGTGATGGTGAACCTTTTAGAGGTGAATGCCTGTGCTGCAACCCAAAACCCACTTATTTATTGAAAAATGCCAACACTGCAATTAAACTTGAATACTGAGGTTTTCATTTAGAAAAAACAACTCATGCATTAACATCTTTTGTCTTAAAAGGAAAAAAACATATGTGCCATAGTTTTCTCACCACTGGTCTACACAGTGTAAATGATACACCTCTTTCTGTAGAACTTCATAGTAATTTGATGCCAGTGTTTGGCATCACTAAAGTAGACATTTTTGAGATTTTTCAGCTATTCTGGGTTTGTGCAGGAATATAGTACAGATAGTACGGTACATAAATGGAATATGTGCTTCTTCTCCACAGTTGTGCTGCATGGAAACAACCTGTTAGTGTTTGGAGGTACAGGCATTCCATTTGGTGAGAGCAACGGCAATGACGTTCATGTCTGTAATGTGAAGTATAAGAGATGGGCTTTACTCAGCTGTCGGGGGAAGAAACCCAGTCGTATATATGGACAGGTACCAATTTATGGCCAGTTATGTGGATGTATTTGTTCACATTTTTCTAATCTGGAGGCAATGTCAGAATATTTATATTGCTACCAATTTTTTAAAAACAAAGAATGAATTTAGTGTGGTTGGTTTTTGATTTTTCAATTCTGATGTAAAATTATAATTTGTGGCTCTTGCCACCCCAACCCCCCAACTCTTGTTTCTAATCTACTGTAGGGTCATGATCCAGACCCATTTGGAAGTTTCTTTAAATATTAGACTCTTACCTGCACACCACACACCCCCAAGTGAATGATGGGGCTCTTTCTAGTATAATCTGGGTTCTGTCATTATTAGAATGATAGAGGTCTATGAAAAGTTTTCTTTCCTAAATAGTAGACTAGATGATCCCTATACTTGGTTAAGGGACATTTACATGAACTAAAACATTATGTAGAAGGGCCAGGGATTTAGCTCAGTGGTTCCGGTGCCTGCCTTGCACGCGCAAGGTCAGGAGTTCAATCCCCGGTACCAAAAAAGACCCCAAAAATACATTATGTAGAGATTATGTAGAGATTACTTTAAGTTCCAGTACTTAGGTTTGCACAATTATATCCAGAAAGATATGACAGTATCTACCATACATCAGAGATTCTTTGACAGTAAAGGGCCAAACTTAACCATGTTTTGGTTTGGTTTCTTTCTCAACTAGCTGGCCCTGCACCGATAAAGTTTCTGAGCTTTCACTTTGAAAGGGGACATAGTATACCACTCTGTATCCTACCACATGAGGCACTTTAACTCTAAGAAGTAACCCTAACAAGTAGCTGAACTCACATTGAAGAATAGTCAGAAAATGTCAAGATCCTGGACCACCAACTTGAGTTCCTACTTATAGGATTCTGGTGGTTTATTTTCATATTTGTTGCTGCTACTTGAGAGCATTTTTCTTTAGACTGCTTAGGGAAAAGAGCAGCTTTCAATGGACATGCTAATGTCCATGAGCTCTGTTCTTGGCTAGGACCTCTAAGAATCATCTAACCCCTTACATGTAGGTAGAATTTATAAAGGTGTACCTTTCACAAGATTACTCTAGGTTCTCTAAAGTCTTTAGTCTTCTAGGTGTCTGGTATTTTATTTATTTTATTTTAGTTAGTACCTTACTATATTGCTTGGACTCAGGTGATCCTCCCATCTCAGCCTCCTGAGTAGCTGGGACTGCAGATGTGTACCCTCACACTCAACTTTAGAATTTGATATTTTAAGAGGTTAAAAAGTATAAGAGAATTTCATGAAACCTAATTTACATGTTTAATCAAGTGTTAATGAGTCATTCTTGTTTGCTTGCCCTTGTTACCCAGGCCATGGCCATCATCAATGGGTCCCTTTATGTCTTTGGAGGAACCACTGGCTACATTTACAGCACAGACTTGCACAAGTTAGATCTCAATACCAGAGAGTGGACACAGCTGAAACCCAACAACCTGTCCTGTGACCTGCCAGAGGAAAGGTGAGCCCCTAACGTGAAAGTGTAGTCTGTCTGTCTTGTTGAGATTTGACTACTTTCAGAATATTGGCAATATGAAGAAAACCCTTTGGCCCCAGTTAAAATAGTGAACAGACAGTTAGATTCTGGTTAATAGTAAAGAAAGGTTTTCTGGTGAAAAAATGGTGTTTTCCCCTAAACTATGGAATTTTTTCATGTTGTTTTCTCTTATACTTTTTGAAGAAGAAACAAGTGGTAGCAATTACAATTAAAGTTCATACTGGTGATCAGTGAATGTTGATTGGATAGAAGGAAAGATGAATGGAAAGATGGATTGGTAGGTGGGTAGAAAGAAAGGTAATTTCTTTTAAGTGCTCTGTTAAACACTCCAGCATCATGTGGTGTTTCAGCTTTTCATTGCTAGGACAAAATATCTGATATAAACAGCTTAAAGGAGTAAAGTTTTATTTTAGCTTCTGGTTTTAGAGATGGCTGGTTTCATGGTTGGTTGCCTCAGTTGCTTTAGGTCTTTAGTGAGGCAGAACATCATGGCAAAAGGATGTTGGGGAGGAAAGCTACTCACCTTGTGACAGCCAGGCAGGAAGGAGAGAGAGAGAGAGAGAGAGAGAGAGAGAGAGAGAGACAAGGAGAGACAGGGAGAGACAGGGACAGGGAAGGTGCAGAGAGGAAGAGGTTGGGAAAAAGCTATATTCTCCAGGGTCATGCCCCCATGCTGCACTCGCTTTGGTTAGGCCCCTCCTAAATCTTCATCATCTTCCATTAGTGCCATCAAGTTATAAATTCCATCAGTGTATTAATCTACTTATCAAGTTAGAACCCTAATGATTCAATCACTTTCAAAAACTCATGTGTTTAGAGGTGGGGCTTTTGAAAAGGATTGATCTAAATCATAGCATGTGATTCTCTCTAGTTGCCTTCTATAGGAGTCCTAGACCTTTCTGTTATATATGGTACACATGAATCCACTTGTCAAAAAATAGGCTTTTGAAAGAAAAGTTTATTCCAGTGAACAGGGACTAAAATCAGAAAAAGCTAAAGCAGAAAAGATTTCATCTGTGGGTGGATGGGCTAACACTAGGAGAGAGATATTAGCAGCTAACTGGGAAAGGAATTAGGCTTATATAGGTATTGAAGGGGCTAAGGAATCTGGGGTGAAATTTTTTTAAAAATTAATTTTATTGCTACATTTTAGATATACAGTATAATGCCATTCATCATTGGAAATTTGCACTTTTACATAATCTCTCTTGGCTCTTATTTTTTCCCCATTCCCCTACCCTCCCTTCAACCCCTCCATCCCTCCCTATTTACAAAGACTTTCTTTCCATTTTTCTATTTTCTCATATTAATTCCATTCCCTTCTTTCCTTTCCCCTACCCCTCCCACTT